GCTGGCTTGGAACAGTAGGGAATATTTGCAAAGTCACCTTGAGCTACTGCTGAGCTCCCCAGATCTGACCACACACTTTCTGCTATGCTGACAATTGATGTGTGCAGCAGACCAAAGGCTGCACATCCATTACAGTTTGGCATGTCTATTTTAGCTGGGGAGGGAAACATTGCACTAAATCTAAGATGGGTTTTGTTGAGGCTATTATTTTTAATTCCCATAGTCAGTTATATATTGATTACCACGAGTGACAGAATAAAGTTGTACCTATCCCTCCAATCCAGTATACTTGCAAAACAAAACAACGAAAATAATCTGCCTTGCAGAAATGGAACTAGAATCTGAAACCACCAGGAGTTACATGGGAGAATGGTAGTGCCTGTGCAGTAGTTGTAGCTCCTTTGCCCAGCAGTAGACAGCAGCTTTTCTCCTAGCACCAGAATTCTCCACCTTCCAGCCCTCAGAAGAGGCAAAAGAAACCAAATCTGTGGAAAGAATGAAAGAAAATCCTCTTGACTTGACACAGGCATTATACTGTCCTTGAAACAGCAGGTCTTTGAGAAAATGGGATGAGTTTGCTGGGTTTTTTTCCCCAAGGCCATTTGTGATGTTAAAGTTGTTTCATTCCTTAGGTGCCAAGTTTTATTTTCTTTATCCTAAGTGGTCTTATTTTAAGTGATTTGTCTTGTGTGAGCTCACCAGGCAAACTGTTTTCACTCTACTGGGAGTCTTCCTGACTTTTTGTATCTGATGTATATTTTTCTGTGCAGAAGATGGTATGTGAGGAACCTTTGGCAGGCAACTGAGACTAAATTCTTGATATAAGATTAGCAATAGCTGCATCTGAGGTTGACACTTGGAAAATATGCAGAATTAGAAGACATTTTTGAGTGCTTAAATTTGTCTTTCCATCTTAGTTCTGAGGGTTTTTTTTTTTCCATCTCTCCTTTAGTTCTGGGAATATGTGGACCATTTTCTTTGTTCACATCTGCTACTTCCAGCACACTCATCATTTTGGTTGGTTTTATACTGTAGATATACAAAAGATGGAAAAGATTGCACTTTATTGTAATATTAAAGCACAAGTTTATTACTATGTTAATTGCATATACGACAAGTTCATTACAATTCCGGCTATTCATTGGCTTAGAGAAGATATTTCTTCTCTCTCCCATTTTGAGCATCTAGTTTTGCATAGAATATAGATATTAATATATCTGCAGAAAACTGGGCTCACCACATAAATAAATAGCCATGTGCTTTGATTTAAAAAATACTTCTAGATTTGAGGCTACATGGATGTTGAAAGAAAAGCAACTATATTGCCTAGTGGCATTGTGCAGTTAAAACTCCTTTTAATAGCTTACCTGCATTTCTTGCCTCGTATCATTTCCACATATTTCTACAAAAAGAAGCACCAAAATAAAAGGTGAAGGGTATGTTCCCAAAGAATCTGTTAATACTAATATGTTTGCACTTAGAGCAGGAGCACACCATCCTGAATCCCCTTAAAAAGAGCTGCTGTGTTGGGGCCTTAGCACTTTTGCAAGAATACGAGGAGCTGAGGCGATGAGAACCGAGGAGCTGAAGCGATGAGAACCAAGGCCACCCGGAGAAGATAAAGCCTGTTAGCAATTTTTTAATGAATAAGGCCAGCCATAGCCAGATAAGCGTCCGGGAGGCCCAGCAACGGAGCATCGGGAAGAACACCAGTCAGCTGCAAGCTAGCTATGCATGGACACTATAGCCTAACCAATGGGAATGCTGTTGCTTAGCACGTGTCTGCATTTACAGGTGATAGAATTGTATAAAGCTACATAGTAGACAATAGTAAAGTGAATTGAACCTGCTTCACATTGAAGTGTCGTTCATTCCGTCTCATGGAGTCGGCGTGGGCATCTGGCAACCCCGACGTGAGGGATCCTGCAGCCAGCGGCGAAGTAGCAGGACGCTCAAAGGAAAGATCGTGGCTGACCTGGTGAGTCAGGAAGCAGGATGGGAATTGCTGCATCAGCAACTAGTATGGAAATTGCTGCATCAGCAATGGAGCGTGCTACTGTAGAAAGTTTGTTAAAGCTCACTCAAAAGACTGAG